AGTGACTATCCTAAAAAACAAAATAAGAGCTAGAGGTAAGAAAGATCTAACCGACTTGTAGCACACTCCATAGCAAGCAACAAAAAAATTCCATCCGATTTAAAGCATAAGCTAATGAGCGAGCCAAATAAAGGCTAAGATCCACAATACTCCAAGCATAGGAATGAGAGCCCTAATTCTAAGTCCAAAGGTCCATAAAGTCCAAGGTCTAAGAGTAGTCCAAGAGCATAACCACAAAGTTAATAGCACCAAATTTTTTAGATGTTTTATCCTTTATTAGTGTTTTGAACAAAGTATGGTCCAAGTGGACAAAAGAGAAATGACATAAACATAAACAAAGATATGATATGAAATGATAATATGGAAGCATAAAAGTAAAGAAATAAAGAGTAAGAAGAGAATATAAACAAAATTAAACAAAGATAATGTTAGTGAATTAGTGGTTAGTGGTTAGAACATATGATCAATGATGATTAATTCTTGCACTTTAGACCAAGGTTAATGAAAACTCATTAGAGGATTGATAGAATCAAAGCCTCCTAACAATGATTTTCATAGGTATTGGACTTAAGACAAGCAACTAAACATACTTGGACTTTTAAACGTAAGTTTGAGCCACGAATGATCATTTTCCGATTAAGGGACACTTTAGCGCTATGTTAAGCAATCGTAATCGGGTTTATGTAGAAACCACGACTATCTGAGGCCGGTCAATAATAATGTTAGTGTTAACACATGTTAGAGAAGTGATATGTAAATCACTCTCCTAAAACATGCCACCCAAAAAGAAAAGAGGTAGTGATCTCATCATAATCAAGATTTTTAATCAATTAATCAAAGGTAATCTATCACTGTTCCAAAGAACGGAGAATTATCTCAATGATTATTCATCCATAGATTTGAAATAATGAAGATTAAACAACCTTGATAATCAACAATCTATGATCCATAGATTTCATCAATCAAAAATAAAAAGAAGAAGAAAGAAAATTAAAATGAAGAGAAAAACCACAATTTGAATTTTAAATTGATTAAATCATCATCAATATCAATCACTTCTCTTGGTGGATAAAATCGACACCCAAAGTCCATTGATATTGATGAGATCTTATCAAAATTCAAGATTCAAATTTATTTTAAGAAACTATTTTAAAAAAAATATTAGAGAAAAAGAAAATTTGAAAAAAATTAAAGAAAAAGGGAGGTTTAAAAACAAAATAGGGGGATGATGATAGTAAAAGGCCACACGGCCAAAATTCTTAAAAAAAAGAAATAAAAAAAATTGAAATAGTTGAAAAGGAAAAAAGAGAAAGAAAAACAAGTCAGAATATCATCTTCCTCGTTTGCAACGTGCCACTATTCACGGCCATGGATGCCACTTCGAAGTTTGCTCAAATCAAAGCGGCGGGACGCAAAACCAACACGGTTGTGATCGGAATTCAGCGTACATCTCAAATGTGTTATCAATTTTGTGTGATGGTGCTTGGATCAACCGAATCGAAAACGCAAAGTCTCGATATAAAACTCCAAATTACCTTTAATTCAAGGTGAGCAATGCTTCGATTCTTCTTCTTTTTATTCTTTGAATCTGGAGATGCGAAATTGAATTTCAGTTTTGATGATGAAGGTTAAAGAAAAATTGAAGGAGAATATTGATGAATTTTCAAGGATTATGAAGGTTAATTGAATGAAGCTTGAAGGTGATTGAAGGTTGGGGTGATATTTCTGCAGAAGTTTTCTGGCTTTTCAAGCTTGAAGAAATGAAGGAGATACGAGTGGTATTTATAGATTGGAGTGAGTGAAAAATGGTTGCCGTTTGTGTATTTTTCTGTGCGTTTTGGTTGCTACAAGTTATGCGTGACTGGTTGAAACTTTTTTCATGTCGTTTTTACTCCTTTTTTTTTCTTTTTTTTTTGTAACTCACTTAGGTGACGTGGATTGTTTTGCTCACATATTGTATTGCTGAAAATTATATTCTGCAGGTGACGTGTATTGTTGATTTATTCAAATCTTTTGACATTCCAAGTTCTCCACCTGCAGCTTCGTGATCTTCAGTAGTTACTGATTTAGACGCTCCAGATAACACCCCATTCTCTTGATTCGTGCAGATTTTGTGATGATTTTCAAGAACGGCTCCAATATGTGTACAAAATGCTGCTCTGGACAGCACTGGAAGAACTTCACCAGCTTCTGAACTGCATCTTTCTTCAGTAATGCTTGTTCAACCTTCCTATTATCATTGTCATGGGCTAAGCAAACATCAATTGAATCTAGTGCAGTCACAGACCAAAATTCATCCTCAAGAAGGTTCAAATAGACATCCAAACCACCATGAGCCCTTAACTGCTCCCTTGAGTTACGAGATGCATGCGCCATGTCGCACAACAGAGGCAATGCATATTGTTTCAAGGGAGAATTCGATGTGATGAATTGCATTAGATGGGGAATGATTCCATTTTCAGCTGCTTGTTCCTGTCTCCTCTTATTTATCTTGCATAAGTTGAACAGTGCGTTCAGGACCTCATGATGTATTTCAGATGCAAGAGACCCTTCTTTGAGTTCAAGGTTTGGTATCAAGTATTTGATTGCCTCAGCACGCTGAAGATTTTCTAAGCAATTTGGATCAGTTGACAGATGATTAATACACTTCAATATCTTCAACAAAATAGGTGGTTCTACCCTATTAAACATCTGAAAAAGTCGACTCAGCAAGCTTTGACTACACATATAAGACTTCACAGTTGTATCCGCTTGTGCAAACTCAAGTAAAAGATCTGCCACTTTTTCAAGGTACTCTTTTGCAACTTCTGCATTCAATGATGAAACCATGTGGGAAAGTAGTCCAGATGAAGTAGCACTACCTGGTCTAGCATTTAGAACACCTGAACCAGACAATACACCTGACACTGTCTGAGATGCAATCCCAGATGTGGAAGCAGCTCCTTCGCTAGAACCAAATGTCCCTAATTTCTTGGGAGTAACTCTTTGAAACACTCTAGCAATGGAGTCGAGATTTCCGTTTTCCCTTCCACGTTGAGAAACATCTGCGAATTCTGCCATCAAAAAGTCCAGTTCACCATTTGTAAGAAAAGTATTTTCAAATGTATTCTTGGAAGGTTGAGTCGGATCTAATACCAAACTGCATTTTGGAATAAAGGCCTCAGAGTCCTTTGGAATATTGTGTGTTTCTGAAGGTATCTCTGGGTGATTCGGCTGAACAGCCAATTCAGATTTCTTAGTTTCATTGGACACTGTAGGATGTAAACAACCACCGGAAACAGCAGAATCTTTTTTCAATAAATCACCTGAAACAAAATCTTGCACTTCATCCTTTGTGTCAGTAATATTCTGCTCACCACAACTTCTGCCAGAGACAGACTTAGTTTCAGAATACACACCTACATCTAATTCTGGTTGGCATCCAAAGAACGACATAACTCCATGTCTTGAGGATCCCTGTTAATTTCTTCTTTTCAGCATCCAGTTGTCTTCGAGTAGTCTCTCTTTGTACTCCAAGCATATTAGCAATAGTTATATATGATGTAACCAATGAAAGACCCATCAATGAAGCAACTTGACGATAAACTCTTGGAGGGGTGCACTGGTGTATAACAGTTGTTTCTGCCTGCTGCCATGTTTGGATTGCAAGGCTCCTTTTATCTGGTCGACCACTCAATGCTTCACGCATAACAGACGGGAAGTATGGTAGTGTTTTTTTTGACCATGTATGTACGCTGACTGCCATTATTTGATCCAACATGTTTTGAAGATAAAGCAGGTGATCAGCATCTGTAATCCCGCGTCTTAATATCTGCTACACGTTCACTCGGTCCTGAAAGACAAAGTACTACACACTTCTTTGGGAACTTAGTTGCAGTTGAAGCTATATGAGTGACAACCTCAATAACCTGGAAGAGCCTCAGCTATTGGCATCATGTCGCGAGCTTGATAAACCCACAACTTCGTTACTTCTTTTACAGTCATGTCCTCCTCATCATCTGGTGAGTATCCCTTTCCGAGAACACGGACGGCCTGCCCTGTCTGTATCTTGCCACTATAAACTCTACCAAAAGCATCAAACACACTACAATCAGATTTTGGATACAACTTTGTTATATTAACCATTAGTAGGCCAGAAGAATCCCATTGTGTCATGGCTCTCTAAAAATTCCAGCAGAAGGAAACGCTTTCAAAAATGTTTCTACAGCTCCTAATACATACAGAGCTCCAGCAACTGCATTTCCAACATAAACCAATACTAACTCCAACTTCTGGACCAAGGGCGCGACCTATGAGATAGTACGGTCCCCCACCCTTCATGGCAGTTCATCTAGAAGCTCAGTCGGTAGGCCTTTTTTCTCAATCAAAGATGTTACTGCTTCAGTCATTACTTTCAAAGGAGACATTGCAGCTTTTTTGTTTCAACAACCTTATCTTCCAGCAGAATAGCACCATATTCATGGAGAAGAGTCAATGCTTCAGAGCATGACAGCTTTTTTAACAAGTACCCATCTTATGTAAGTGGTTTTGAAAGTGGAATTTCATTTTCCAGGTCAATTGCATCATCTCCTAAATTACAACTCCTTTCATGAAATATAGCAAAAAGCTCTTCAAGTTCTATCAACTTCTTCAAATCTGCAAATTGATGCTGAGGTTGAATATGGTTGTTCGGAGAAGGTTCCTTGGAATTCACCTAAATTGTGCTGAAGCAAAGACTGGCGAGAATGTTCCCTCGTAATTTCTCAGCTTTGCAACAATCCGCCAACTTTAAAAGATCAAACAACAAAGATTCATTGTTCCTATACAGAGCCAAAAGTTCATTTATTTTATTGTAGTCCATGCATGGCAGATTTTTAATCATATCTTCTCTGACTAAAGAGAGGAAACAAACTGACTGCACTCCTTCTTGTTGGTTTATACACTGCCATGACTATTATGGTGGTGATGAAGGTTTGTGAATAATGCCATAAGAACGCAAATTGCAAATGCTTGGTCATTCGTTAATATTTGTAACCCAAAGAAGAACCTGGTGGAGCAGGAGGTAATCGGTTAGGAGTGCGACGGCTACCAGAGTTTGGACCAGAGTTCATGTCACCATTTTGCGCAAGATCGCTATTATGTCGACTGTGACCATTTGATCTAGATCTCGTTGAACCACTACGGCCAACAGGACCATTGCTAACTGCATCAAAGGCAGATCTCCAATCATCACCTGGTTCGCTGCTTCTTGGACTACTCTCTGCATTCCCATTTGACCAATTTGAGGCTGCTGCTGCACGGTTGTCATGTATACTCATTTGGCGTGTCAGTTTGGAGAGAAGCGAGGACTGTTTCTGGTAACGCTCTCTCCTGCGCTTCACATTTTGATCTTCTAAAAGCAGCTCCTCAATCTTAGCTGTGCTATGACCACTGATAGAGCTATATAACTGATTCAGCATGTCTTCCTTAGCTTTTTCAACTTGACAAAGAACAACTACCTTTGGTACATTAGCAGCCAAACTGTTTAATACTGCTTCAACATAGCCGCGGACTTCTTGGGACATCCATCGGAGTTCTTCCTCAGGATCAGCAGGTTTTCGAGCCATTGTATCCTCCAAAAGATGCAAGTACATCTTTTCCATTAATCCATTAGCAAGCAGATCTTCAACAAGTTGCCGATACAAAATTAGTCCCCCGATTAGCAATCCTCCTAACAAGGTCAATACAGTTCTCCTATTCATCTTTCTGGTTTTTTTTGAGCATTTCTACTATCAATGAAAGAGTAAGTTCTCTGACTGAGGAATCTGCATCATCTAGTACCTCAAGCACAACTGTCAAAATCTGATTGAAGTACTTGTTCCAAACAGACTGATCATTTGTTGTAGAAGCTTCTAATAACTTGTTGAAGTACAGTATGTTTACTTGAAATAGCACTGCTATCATTAGGATTGCATATCGTATGAAGAACTTGAAGAATGCTGGGCTCAGTGTCTGTCATCTTGATCTGCTAGTGACGACTGCATCGAGTCCACATATGATGTACACTAATATACTAGTGAAACAAAAGGATGGAACCACACAAATGCTTTTTCCATAGAAGAAAGTTTCGAAGCAAAACTCCCAGCTACAGAGAGAGCCAAATCATATTCACCGTATTTCCATAACGAGAAAGCATACACTTGCAAACCTTCTTCATTAAGTGCAAAATTCACGGATTCTCCACGGTTGAAACCATGACTGAAGCCTGCAACACATTAGAAAGCATTTGCTGTTTGTTGGTGCATCAACAGTCGTTACTCCTCCTGCTGCTAAGCGTTCATGCCGTGTTCTTCTAATCTCACTCTTATGTAAAAAAAAATACTTTCTCAGTGATCCTGGCAGAAAAATTATGAAGAATCATATCATTTGTTGATTAAGATCTGCTGCCTGCTGTGCAAGTTCCATGAGATCATAAATTGGAGCCTCTTCACTGAACTGTCCAAATGACCACATATTTTGCATGACCTGGAACAGTAGTTATTACCAATGGTAACAGCATCTTCACCTTGGGCAATTTCGCCTACTAATTCTGGTACTCAGATGCACTCTGATATTTGCCGTGCTCTTCAAAATATTCAACCAACCGCTTTAGAAATCCACCACTACTGACCGTCTCAGTGCCACAAACAATACAACATTGCCTTCTTTGAGTTTCCAGAAATTAAGGTTCTCAATCCATGAAGCCATGCATGTTAAGACCTGATGCTGAGCAATGATATCAACCGCATCCAATTGCCTTTGCATGATCTCCTCACAAAGAAGCTGTCTTAGTTCAGGATGATCTTTTGCAAGTTTACAGGAAAGCTTGTACTGGAACTGTTGATAGGAATCAGGAAGGTTGCCAACAACAGCCGCTCGATAACCACCTGAGCCCTCAATGCCATCCTCAGCCCATTCACGAACAGAAAGTGTCTCAAGCATCTGAAGGGCGTCATCACGAATTTGTCTTGATGGGTCCACTACTTTATAAAGGATCAAACTCAATAGTCTCTGTATTTCACAGTTTGGTATCTCTTGTCGCATGCAGACCTCTGCCAGTACACTGAAATACCCATCGGCTACAGAAGAATTAGAGTAGTAGCACTGATCAATACAAGCGGGAAATAGGTCCAAATTTGTAAGCAAAAGATTCTTCAAAGCCAATTTTGCTAGAGAAAGACGGTGATGGCCACCCCTAACCCTATCTCGACCAGTGCCCCGGGCGAAGCTTCTCATAGAACACTGCTTGAAAATTTGATGAATTATGATATAGGACAACTTGACCTTGAACAGTCACATTGCCTGAGAAAATAGCCCACAATCACGGGTAACTTATAGTTGAAGCAAACTCTTGATAGTTCGACCAAGATGAGGTCAAACTTTCATCTGATTTAGACTCGAATGAATGTCTTTGCCATCAATCTCCCTGCAAAACCCTAAACACACAGAGAAGAAGAAGAAACAAAAAAAATTGAAAAATATTTTTGGTATTTTAGTTAGAGGTTAGTAAACAGAAACAAACATAAAGTAAATAAGAAACACAAGGGACCTAAGAAAAATCAAAAAGTATGGTCTTGTTTGTGGAATGATATGCAAATGAAATGTGGAATCTTAGGGGTAAAAATTAGGGTATTACAGCTGCCCCTATTTAAGATTCTTCAATCCGGAGATAAGAAGATTGACATCTTTGTCTCGACCAGATAGAAGAGACTTAAATATAACACTTAACCCAATTTTTGGCCCTAAGAGACCACAAAATGATATGGTTATGCTAATGGTATGCAAACACAAGACCTCTGTGGGGAGAAAATGCCACAGGAGACAAACAAAAGTTCGGGAGCAAAAGAAGAAAAGAGACTCCACAAGGGAAAACAAAAGAGCAAGATCCTATTCCGATAAAGGAAAGAAACGACTCAACAGGGAAAGAGATGCCAACTGCCAATTACTGGGCGAATATAGTCGATCCAAAGAGAACAGGTAAAATGCTTCTACTGATTACTGAGTAGAAAATAAGCGTAATAAACCAAAGGGGGTGAGAATATTACCGACTACCAATCAATAGATAGCACAATAAAGGCAATATACTCAAAAGGTGAAGAAACATTACCGGATACCCAGTACTAGGTAGAAAAATTTGGGTAACGAACTCAGAAGGAAAGATTACCGACTACCGATTACTGGGTAGAAAAATATGTCGATAACTGACCAAAAAGGATGAGCAAAATACTCAAAAGAGTGAAGAAACATTACCGGATACCCAGTACTAGGTAGAAAAATTTTGGGTAATGAACTCACAAGGAAAGATTACCGACTACCGATTACTGGGTAGAAATATATGTCGATAACTGACCAAAAGGAGGAGACAAATGCTACCTACTACCTATCACTAGGCAGAAAATAAAGGCAACAAGCTCGGGAGGAAGGATTACCTTTTACCGGTCAAATGGGTAAAGCATAACCAACCAAAAGGGGTGAGAAATATTACCAGTCAATAGAGGTAACATACTCGAAAGGTGAAGAAACATTACCGGATACCCAGTACTAGGTAGAAAAATTTGGGTAATGAACTCACAAGGAAAGATTACGGACTACCGATTACTGGGTAGAAAAATATGTCGATAACTGACAGAAAAGGATGAGCAAAGTACTCAAAAGGGTGAAGAAACATTACCAGATACCCATTACTAGGTAGAAAATTTTGGGTAATGAACTCACAAGGAAAGATTACCGACTACCGATTACTGGGTAGAAATATATGTCGATAACTGACCAAAAGGAGGAGACAAATGCTACCTACTACCTATCACTAGGCAGAAAAAAAAGGCAACAAGCTCGGGAGGAAGGATTACCTTTTACCAGTCAAATGGGTAAAGCATAACCAACCAAAAGGGGTGAGAAATATTACCAGTCAATAGAGGTAACATACTCGAAAGGTGAAGAAACATTACCGAATACCCAGTACTAGGTAGAAAAATTTAGGTAATGAACTCACAAGAAATACCTGCTACCATTCAATGGGCAGCTCAAATCACACAACAAACTTCTCAAATAAAGAGACAACCATTTGTTGGGGTGAGTTTTATCTTGTTGGAGACATACAAGTTGCTCAAATAAAGAGACTGCCACATGAAGTTGCCCAAGCAATCACCAAGAGAGTGTTATCAAAACACCGCTGGGGAAATCAAATCTTCATCTTCTGATGGGGATCAATAACAGATTCCTGCTGAGGAAAATAAATCCTCAAGACTACTTTCTCATCATTCAGGTTTCACAGCCCAGGGAAATCCAAAGTAACCGCTGCAAGAGACCAAAGTTCAATCCAGGAACAAACTGGAGAGAAACGGTCAAACAAGACTCGACCCAATGAGGAAATAACTCAACTGGGGAACAATTCCATCCAGATAAAAGCTGGGGAGGAAAGCTAAACAAACATCTTCCACGAGGTATAAACTCAGTGGGGAATTAAAAATGATAGGTATTTTCTGCTTAGGGGTCGACACTCTAATGGAGAGATGACACACGCACTCCGCAGGGATAACAACATCGGGAAAAGGGAAATACCAACAAAAAATGCAGGATGCACAATGCAACAAAGACATGCTATGCTCAACCAAAAATGAATGCGCATGCAATGAGTATGAATATGCTGATAAATCAGACAAAAAAAGGCAAACAGAGGGTGAACAAAACACCACAACACCACTGAAATACTCGGCTAATTTCTGCAAGTTAGAGATATCATTGGAGATCGTGCTGGGGATCAGCAACAGAAAATCTTCAATCATCAATAATTCAACAAAAGGGAACAACAATATGAACTCCGCTTTGAGAAAAAAACTGTTGGAGAAAACAAAGCAACACAAATTTTCCAACTCTGCCTGGGGAATAAGAAGTTAACATCATAGCAAAAAGTCAAACTGTCGGGGATTTTAAATCAACACCCAATCACAAGGTGAGAGAAAACCCGACAGGTGACTGCTATGTCAACACTTCTTAGAAGTAAGCAACATTGTTCTCTACTTGTGGAATAATCCAAAGTAAATATGCATAACCTCTGCTAGGAATCATTAAAGACAAGTCTTCGCATGGGCAATAACATCAAGGAGAGGTGGTCCTCAAACTACTCAACTGTCTGATCATAACCTGGCTGGATGAAGGAAACATACTCATCTGGAGAAGATTTGAATCACGACTTCGCTGTGGAAAACTGATCATTACTTGTCTGGTCATCCGTAGGAACAAAACTCTGCTAAGGGAATATCAGCAAACCTTACTGGAGAAAACTCGACACAACTCTACTGGGGAACTGCCAATAAATTCTACCAGAGGAGCAAGAAATAACTCTGCTGAGGAAAACATCAGCAAACCTTACTGGAGAAAACTCGACACAACTCTACTGGGGAACTGCCAATAAATTCTACCAGAGGAGCAAGAAATAACTCTGCTGAGGAAAACATCAGCAAACTCTACTGAGGAGAATAAGATGAGGGTCATATCCTATCTTTCACAACCATTTGTAATAAATGCACATCCTCTGCACGGGATCAACAAGGATAACTCTCTGGGTGCTAACAACCTCGAGAGAAATAACTTGGAATTGCGGGGATAATTAAGAAGTTAACATCATAGCAAAAAGTCAACCTGCAGGGGATTTTAAAACTCAACACGGGGTGAGAAAAAACCCAACAGTTGATTGCTATATCAACACTTCTTAGAAAGGAAA